GGGGTACGTGATATACACAAAAGATTAATTAAGTAATATTCATTCTAAATAATGCATTAATTCGAGTATATCAAGAGAATCTTAAAAAGGAAATAATCAGTATAATAGAATATACACAAAAGATTAAGTAATATTAATTCTAAAACAAACTATTTTTATTTTATTTTTAATAAACCGAACACAATTAAAAACAATAGCTTTTTATTATTATTTTTTGCCTTCTAAAATCGTTCTCATTACGATATATAAGCAAAGTGACTATTCTTTTATAAATATCAGTATAATCGAATATACACAAAAGATTAAGTAATATTCATTCTAAAACAAACGATTTTTTATTTTATTTTTAATAAACCGAACACAATTAAAAAAAATAGCTTTTTATTATTTTTTTGGTCTCCTAAAATCGCTCTCATTACGACACATAAGCAAAGTGACTTCTCTTTTATAAGATAGATATATAAATATGTAAATTTCCATGTGAGTATTTCTCTTTTATAATTTCAATATATAAAACACGGTTTTAAAAGTTGTTGTAAGAAGAAAAAAAGTTTATTGATAAGTTTTCAAATCATATACATATAGTTTTATGTTTGTATCACATACAAAAATTTAAATAGTAATACAACGACGACACTAACACAAACTACTAGATTACATATCAAAATCGAGGTATATCATCAGTTACATATATAAAATCATTATTTTCAGATTATTCGCAAATTTTCTTGGCAATTTATGGTATTGTTTCTCATATATACAAATCAATTTGTTACTATGTAAACAAATGAACATAAAGATGAAGAAGATGAAATTTCACTCTAATAGTCTAATTCAACTTAACTTTTTTGTTTACAATGGTAGTCATTTAATATTCAGTGAGCTACCTATCAACACGTTACAATCGTCCCTTTGCACATGGAACAAAAAATGAATACAATAGTCACTTGRCTTTCTTCTGGTTAGTCGTACAATCGTGGCTTCTCACACATGAGCTATGCTCGATAGTGATGTTTGTTGATAACTATGCTTTGTGAGACAGTCTTTTTGAGACACTGTCTTTGCCTTACGAGTCCTAGTCGAACCCTCTTGCTTTATGAGAATCTTTGCTTTACTTTACGTAAACCTTTGAATTGAGCAAACCTTCTGTTTCAACAGGTGACTCCTTTAATGGTTAACGATTAATTGGTTAAATTTGATTTCACATCATTTTTTCTTCCAATTCTCTTTTCAATCTCAACTAGGTGATTACCCGCGCATACGGGCAGGTTTTTTGCTTTTATATTTTTTTTACAAATTCATATTTTACAATATAATCGAATAAACTATAATTTTAAAATATATAAAAATCGYTTTAATAAAGTAGAAATCAGTTTCATAAATCTTAAAATCAAGGATCAAATCTTCTTTTGTTAGCTCAAGACAATGCTAATATACGGAAATCAAGTGTTAGAGGATGTATATTGTAAACAAAAACTTTTACTAAAAATGACATAAAATCCAACGAAGACACTTTGGAGAGCT